TTGTTGCCGTGTTTGCAATGGTTTTGATTACAATGCATCACAAACAGTGGCTGTTAAAATACCTGTTAACCAAACCAAAGTTCGCACATTATCTGTTGTGGACGTGCCAGTGTTGTTCAAACAATTACAACAAGTACTTTTAGAATGTGAGAAACTTTTGAATGACAGTAAATACACTGCACTATATCATCATGGAGTTTTACCTTTAGCAAGTGAAATAATGGAGAGTATTGAGTTTATTTTAAACGTTAACGAGGACGATTTATTGAAAAATTTTAGCATATATGATGAACTTTGTGCATCTAAACTAATTGCTCTTCTTGAAATTTATGCTCCTGCAATCTAGCACTTTCTTAACACCTATTAGCATGTTTGGATATCATAATCTATCAATTTATATTATTGCACTATAAATCTAGTATATATAGTTAATTGATCATTGTTAACAAGTTACAATTAATATTCAATTAACAAAAACGCCAATGGCAGTGTCAATGCACCTTTTTTTTACAATCTTACCCAGCTGCTTAACAATCTACAATATATCAATAGGAAAGTTAAAGGTATTAACCACACCATTCCCTTTATTAAATCATTATGGCGAAATGTGTTCAATTAGTTCTCAATCTATTTATTCATTAACTAATTAAATTAAAGTTGTCTCTAAACGTCAAAACCTCAAAGTCTAGGCGTGACAGAATAATTGAGCTTACACTTGTATGTTAAATGGAAATGAAACAAATTTCTGTGGTACGGTAATCAAACTAATTTGCATATGTGAGCTCCCCTTTTAAGTTTTGATCTTTAGGCTAAGTTTAATTGAAGTAAATTTATAAAAAAATCGCTTTATGTGGAATGAAAGCGGTTACTAATATATAAGGACTGTTGCTTCCCCAGTGAAAGTACTAACCAGTATTCAGGTAGACATCTCTTTTTTATGTCGCTCCAACCACTGGTGAAACTCTACAATGTTAAGGTACCGTAACGGGGACCACTTTACGTCGTTAAAATCCTTGTATGAGCGCCCCTCTATGTGGTTGAAGGGGTCAAGATTTATTAGATCTTCTATCATGCCTCTCTCATCTTCCGTCGAATTGCGTGTTGGACTGATTCCTTTGCCACTCCTACAGTCTTATCAAACTGTTCTTTTATCATGGAGATACCACTCATAGCTTTACTTACTTTGTTGATGGATGAAAGAGTTTTATTTGGTCCCATTCTTTGCACAATATTTTTGCTCAGTTTGTTTGTTATTTCCTGTGCTAAGTCGTTTTCAATATTGTTTCCTGTCCCACCTTTCCAATTCACGAAGAAACCCCATTTAAATTGTTGTGACAACCTCGGTGTGAGGAGGCATTCAATCTGTGCAATGCTGACGAACATTTCGATGGCATATTTACTATAGGAACCCAATAATTTGAATACTGATAGAAGAAACTTTTGATTAATGAGATTTCGCTCTCCGTCACCTTTTCTGGCTGTATCTTTCATTTGTAAAATTAACATTTTGAGGAAAATGGTGCACAATCCATAGTTTTTTATGTGGTCATCATTGACATCATAATCAGTAAGTGGATCAATTTGCAATACATACTTTTGTACAAAGATTCCGAAGACTTCATCAAAATAATTCTTTTTCTGTTCGTCTGTACCATGAATGATGTCTTTTGGAAACTCGTGGATTGTTGGCTTATCATCAACACTAGACATGCCAAAGAAATGCAATACTGCATTGATCCCCTCCAATAACAACTTTCATTTCCCTCATCGGATCATCTTGAAAAACTGAAAATTCGCATTGCGTTGGCAAAACGTGCTCAGTCTGTACAGTATGGGCCTTATTCTTAATTACTATTTTATACCACCAACCCTAGTCCCACATCATGACAGTGTATTGCGCAAGTCTAGCTTTTTTCTCATGGGGCTTGTCTACACTCAAAACTGGACTGCATAATTTACTTTTTTACTTGTCTAATAGCAGACGATATTACTTGTCAATGGGGAAGCTCTGCAGCTTAATGGGTTAACCAAAAAATTTATTTTCGCCTGTTTTGAATAACCCTCTGGTGAAATTGGCATAGTTTTGGGGTTCACATTCCACACATAACTTTCAAAAATGGAAGCAAAGAGTTGATTGGCTGCTGACTATAGGTTCGATAGACTACGTGTTCTGATTGGATATTGTAAACATCATAGCCTGTTCGCAGGCGTTTCGTGTTTTGATTGAATTGAAGCATTTGAATTTTGAAATGTCTATATTATTTAATAAATAAACGAACAAAAGTTGAAAGAAGAAGTTTTATAGACTGCATTAATAGATAGATTGATAAATGTCCTGAATTAAGAGTTTAACGGAGCATCAATACCGCGCCTTGTCCAATTTGATTCACATTAAAGATGTGATTTGCATCTTGCTATCGGTTATGGGAAGAGTTTAATATTCCAAAGTTCTAACACCGAGAGTAGCACGACGACTTGGCAAAAGCCACAATTTTCTGGAGAAACCCATCTTAATAGTCATTTGCAAATTGAACTCTTTCATTGACTCTCACGTCCGTGAACTAAGAAAGCGTGGATGCCGTGTTACTTCACTGTCAAACGAAGAGGACGAGAAAGCAATACTAGATGGAGAGTTTACATTCGCATTTTGTAATCCCGAGTCTATTATTCGAAATGCGAAATGGAGAGGAATGGTTTCATTTGAAATCTACAAGACAAATTTGCTTGCTTTTGTATTAACAGACAAAGTTCACGTCGGCCCAAAGAGGTGTGTTTAATAAATTTATAAAATACAGATTTTTTTGAATGTATATTGCAAGATTAAAGTGAATGAATATAAATATATATTTATATTAAATTGAATAGGTGTGACGTTTTAAATTGAATGAAATTCAGGAGAATGAATATTGCTACAAATGGGCAGGCATACACTGGACAGTAAACATGCGATAAAACCCTGTCTAGACGGATCGTGACTAAAACGCCACACGAGTACATACGAGTAACATACGAGTAACACACAAGTACATACGAGTACATACGAGTAACACACGAGTACATACGAGTAACATACGAGTAACATACGAGTAACATACGAGTACATACGAGTAACATACGAGTACATACGAGTAACACACGAGTACATACGAGTAAAACACAAGTACATACGAGTAGAATACGAGTACATACGAGTAGAATACGAGTAAAATACGAGTAGTAAACTTGTTTTTAGTGTTTGTAGATTGAATACAGGCAAAAAGATCGTCTTCTCTGTCGAAAAACGTGGAATGGGGGAACGGGGAATGGAGGAACGGGGAATGGGGGAACGGGCAATGGGGGAATGGAGGAACGGGGAATGGGAGAACGGGGAATGCGGGAATGGGGGAACGGGGAATTGGGGGGCGGGGAATGGGGGGACGGGGAATGGGGAACGGAGGGAATAGTGGGGCGAGGGGGAGGAATAGGGGGCGGGGAAGGTCTGCCCGATTCTATAAACCACAACTTTGTAGTTTGTACAACATCTACTTTTAGGTATTCTACCTAGATAGTTAGATACATGACACAAACCATAGGCTTCACATATTTCACGGCATGGTTTGCTTTCAAAACCCTGTGAGCATGCACATAACCTAACTTCATCTATACTTAAATAATACTAGGTGATAAACTTACAATCCTCACATAGCCTCAATCACAACATGTGGCTAGGCAAATATACGAACTACACAGTTAACTTATACCGTGACGACATACGACAGTTCCGAGACCGAAATACAGGACAACAGGGCCTTTTTTAAGGATTTTCCCGTGGGGGGCATTTTTTGAAAAGGGACCTTTCTGTCAGATAATATATTAGAGGGGGATAGCAATGGCCGACGGCCACGTGTGTGGCCGACATACTCCCCCAGAAAATGTTTTAAATTTGAACCTTTCAAATGCCATTTCCTGCTTTATGAGCATCTAAATTTGCTCTAAAATTTATGCTAATTATACTTGTATTTGAAATAAAAGAAGGAAAAAATGCAGAAAAAATAAAAGAAATATTAACAATAATTTATCCATTACTTATTATTAAAGGGGGATAGCAAAGGCCGTGGGTCACGTGTGTGGCCGACATACCGTGAATGAACAGGGGGGTCTGGGGCATACTTCCCCAGAAAATGTTTGAAATTTGAAGCCCAAAAATGCCATTTCCTGCCGTCTGAGCATCTAAATTTGCTCTAAAATTTATCCTAACTATACTTCTATTTGAAATAAAAGAAGGAAAACCGCACAAAGAATTTAAGAAATATTAACAATAATTTATCATTACTACAGGACAAATCCAGTTTTCAAGTGAGCCTCAGAACGTGCATTTTCATTTCCGATCAGCCTGCATCAGAGCAAAAGTATCCAAGCTTTCTTGGCGACGTTCTCGTTCCTCCAGACTTTCCTCCCCTTTTCAAGGTGCAGCACGTCCAAAGGCTTGCAGGAGAGTTCGGCTGGGTCCTTTAGAAACGTACTTGCCAACTTAAATTGCTAGCTTAAAATCCGTGTATTTTGAAGTATTTTGAAGTATTTTGTGTTTTGTTAGTTTTGCTTTGTAAGATATTTAAAATAGGATAATCACTTTAAGATATCATATGGAGCATAAGGACTGCCTTGGGCTTGCATCTGTCCTTAAGTTTGTTTTATTATATAGCAAGTATATTAGTAATGACATAAGCAATGTTATTATTATTAATATTACTTAATGATCGGACATAAGCAATGTGGATTGACTTTTTTATGATACGCTGTACTAATAAAGGAAAGCTTCGCTAAATTTCTTTACTAGTTTTAATTCATTGAGCGGTTTTCTAATTCCCAAGACACCAGAGTCCGTTTTATAGTTTCGTAATTCCCCGATTCCTGTTTATCCTGTCGAATTTCTGTTTCTTTTTTCTTTTCTTTTTCCCCCGGTCATATGATTAATATTACGTATTAACAATAATTCATAATTCTCCGATTCCCCTGTCCCCCCCGTTCCTCGTTCCCGCATTCCCCGTTCCTCCATTGCCCGTTCCCCCATTCCCCGTTCCCCCATTCCACGTTTTTCGAAAGAGAAGACAATCTTTTTGCCTGTATTCAATCTACAAACACTAAAAACAAGTTTACTACTCGTATTTTAC